CACACACACACACACACACACACACACACACACACACACACACACACACGTTTGACTGTCAGGCTACCTCCCGAGCGAGACCCTGTCTCAAAAAACCACACACACACACACACACACACACACACACACACACACGTTTGACTGTCAGGCTACCTCCCAGCACTGCACGTGCCTTTATAGCACACTGTCATCTGGGCAGCAGAACTTAGCTCAGAAGCTCCTAGGGTGGAGCCAAAGTCAGATTCCAGAGGGGGCAGCTTCCAGCTGAGACTGGAGTGGAGCCTTCACTTTTCGAAGGGGCAGCAAGAGGCCAGAACGCATCCTTCATAAGTAGTGCTGAAAACTGTCCGTGTTTGTGGGTTCCAACTCCTCAGCCTCCTGGACATTCTTCAGGCCCACAGAGAAGTGGTGCTTTCCCATAGCCTCTCCCTCAGGCTGCGCTCAGCCTCACAACTCCATGCTCTTTTACTTCAGATTTGGCTGAAGAGAAAGTGGGCCCCAAACTTCGGGGAAAGTTCTCAAGCCCCTGCTAGGAGAGCTCAATTTTCAGAAATAACCCGAGACTGCCACTGCCTGTCAGCCACCTTGTGACAGCTCTGTCCCAGCTATGGCTCACACACCCGCTCTGGGCCTGGTGTGCTGGCAGGGCGACTAGACCAGGCCGGCGGCAGTGCCATGCCAGAGGTGACTGCCACACGGCTCGGTGACCTGAGACAGGCTGCAGACAGAGTGCTGTGGTGTCCTCTGTAGCCACTAACAGGAACGTGCTGGTCCCGAGCTCTGTTACCCCCAGAGGGTCCCCTGCAAGGACTGGTCAGCCCTGCCAGACAGCAGGTCTAAAGCTGGCTCCAGGCGAGACCTGAGCCCGGGCCAGCTCGTTCTCGTGCACGTCAGGACAGGTCTGTCTGTGAGCACTTCCTGAAGTGAAGGCAGAGAGGCAAAGCCAAGTTCAATTTCTCCACTGTCACTGACCCAATGGGGCCATTTACCCCAGAGGCTCCCAGCCACTATGCAGGACTAAGTCACAGCTGTCATCTACCAAATGCTTACAAGCACCAGGCACCACTGTACTTCTCAGAAGCAATTTTTTTTACTTTATTTAATCCACATACACTTAATATAGTTATTTATATGGCTGGAGTTTTGTCTGCCATCTCAACATTTTTTTAAAAAGCATTCACTTTGGCTAGGTGTAGTAGCATACTCCTGTAGTTCCAGCTACCTAGGAGACTGAGGCAGGAGGAAGTCAAGGCCAGCATGGGCAAATAATGAGATCCCATTCTCAAAAGAAAAACAAGGGGCCAGGGATTTAGCTCAGTGGTTCTGGCGCCTGCCCGGCAAGTGCAAGGACCCGAGTTCAATCCCCGGTACCTAAAAAAAAAAAAAAAAAAAAACCTCCAATTTAAAGGGAAGTCACTAAGTAAAATGAGAATGGATATGTATGGATAGAACAACATATTTTGGCTCTCAGAGGCTGAGGCAAGCAGATGGCAAGTTCATGCCCAGAATGGGCAACTTAGCACCCTGTCTCAAAAAAGGGTGAGGGATATAGTTCAAAGGGTTTCAATGAGGTGCTATCAAAAGATACAGTAAATGTTTAGAGTTTTAAAAATTCATTACACCCAGGTGGGGTGGTACATGCCTGTAATCATAATCCCAGCACTCAGGAGGCTGAGACAGGAGGAGTGTCGAAAATTCAAGGCCAGCCTGGTCTACATAGTGAGTTCAAGGCCAGCCTAGACTACATAGCAAGACCCTGTGTCAAAAAAAAAATTGCAGCATAAGACCCACTGCCATTAATGCCCCTCAAAATACTTTGTGAAGCAGTTCTGGAAGAACTCTTTAATGAGAGTCCAGTGCTGTCATGGCTGCCTCCATGTCCTGAAGTGATTCAAAGTGTTTGCCTTTCATAGTCATTTTGACTTTGGGGAAGAGCCAGAAGTTACACGGTACCAGATCCGGTGAATAAGCTGGGCAAAGACACCTGTGATATTCTCACACCCTGACTTTCCAAGTTGGATGGCGCTCACACCTTGGAAAGACCCTCAAAACAGGAGTCCAGAGCTGCTGCAGAAAGCAGCATGAGCAATGGGACAGGTGTGCTCAAAGGCAGGCAGGACAGTACCTGGAGGGGAATTCACTGCAGCATGTCTTACTGTGTTACCTTTTTGCTCTTTAGCTTGATATCAATATCTCTCTGCTTAATACAGACAGAGAAATGCAACAGAAGCCAAAGTAAAGGTTTGGCTTGGGAAGGGAAGGATTCAGTAGATGTAAAAGAAAGAGAAAACGAAAAGGTTAAGGTAGAGTAGAAATAGCAAAGTATATTCTTCTAAGCATGGATGTCCTTATTCTCCAGGTACAGAATTTTGTAAGATTGAGGAGTGATCTTCCCAAGCAATTAAAACAACAAAGAAAAAGCCACCTTGTTCCCAACAACAAAGTGTTTAATCAAGGCATTCACTGTTGTAGATTAGAATTCTAAGAGCATAGCAATCATTAGCTACTCGGGATATGTTGAGGTCAAAATGACCGAATATTCCCCCGGAGAATCACAAAAGATAAAATGAAGATGGTGTTACAACATTAAGCTCATCCAAGTATTAAGCATGCTTGAAAGAGGGTATCTAAAGTCCTTTTTATGTAACAGTCTATTAAAAACATACAAATACCTTTTCCATCTCCTGCCTGAAGGTTGTAAACAATTCATTGCTTTTTGCCATAGTAGTCTGGAATTCTTCAAACTTATCCATATAAAGAGAAAGCTACAGAAAAAAATATGAAAGAGATTGAGTTCCAGGTAAACAATTCAGATTCAGAAATTTTCAAAATCTAATACGGTCACGAGTTACTGTGTTACATAACAGAAGAAAGAACAATTGCACACCGAGTCTGTGGACTGCAGACATGGGGTGGGACCCTTGGGGGGTTCTGCAGGTGTTGTTCTAGCGTGTTTCAAATGCAGACCCACTTGCTCCCCGCCATCATCCTGGTGACCCCGGTGCTCTACATGAGCGACTGTTCTTGGGAAAAGCCTCATCAGCACTGGCACGGCACTCCCTGGCGTGGGCTGCACAGCAGAGCCACATGGGCAGGCTGGGGGGGGGGCGGTTTCACAAGGCGAGAACACCCGAGGCGGCAACTCCACTCTGGGAACGTCTACCTTCCAGCGGAGAAGCAGCACCAAGGCCAGCAGAGTGCAAAGCAGCCCCCCTCCTCTCTCCATCAGGACAGCAGTGCGAGCAGAAGGCACGGCCAGGGCCGAGGGCGGGCCTCGCATGGCTGCAGGGCCTCAGTGGAGACCGCCTCCTGTCATCACACTGCGGTCTCTCGGTGGGGGAACATGGAGTACTTGGGAGTCTCGGGGACGGAGAAGCCACGGGCAGTGCGGCAGGGATGGGCAGGTGGTGGAGGCGGCTGCACTGACATGGCCGCAGAGGCCGGGCTGGCGTCGGCGAGCTGCCCTTCTAGCACTGGGCTCCAAAGCTGCCGAGGACCAACACCCAGGGAAAGGCCCACCGTGGCAGTCACTTGTGGCAACTGCCATCGCGGCCGGACTCCGGCCCAGGCCTGACCGTGACACTAGGAGATGGTCAGCCAGGGCTGTGAGGTGACCGGGAAGGATGGCCCTGACTGGCCAGGTGCACGGGCTGCTGAGCCAGCTCCTCCCAAGTCGGGAGGCCATGCTGCGAGGCTCGGGCTGGCCTTCCCCGATAGGTGCACTTGCCAACTAGCGCCCCTAAACATGAAAACCAAAGTGCCTTCACCCAACGGAACGCAATCCAGCTAGCTGAAAAGGTGCAAATGCCTCGTTCTGCCTGTCTGGAAAGATGCAGAAGTCCTTCTCATGCCTTGGCTAAGGTGGCCAGAGGCCGGGAGAGGGCTAGGAAGGGGCGGCCCAAGCAGAGTGCCACCGCCAATCGGTGTGCAAGGCAGGCCTTGCACCCCCACGTGGTTCTGCAACACTTCTGTGCTCACAACACAAAATCTAAAGTCACTCCGTTAAACTATGAAGTTATCATTTTATAGGTCAAAGAAGTACCTTGACTTCTTCAGTGATTTCATGATTCCATTTGATATCAAAAAAGTAATACCTGAAAATTAATTTTCCTTAAGTGGGTCATTAGGTGACAGATGGGAACAGACTGAGAAATGGAGGAAGTATCTAGTATCATGGAAGGGGGGCACTGGAGACAGTGTGACCAACTGTCCCAGTCTGCCTAGGCTTCTGGGACACAGGACTTGCAGCACTAAAACCAGGAAAGTCCTTGGCAAACAGGGATAAGCTGGTCACCTGGAATGAAGAGGACACCTCCACGAGGAACGTGTGAGCTCTTCCTCAGTCTGGCCAACTGGCTGGGAAGTGGTGAGACCCCTTACAGCAACAGGACAGACACTCAAGGTGGGTAGCAAAGGAGCCCTACGAGTTTCCTCCAGTTCTGTGCCCTGCTGTCCAGTTACCTGCTGTTTTAGCTGTACTTCTTGCTGTTTCATTTGTTCGTATTTGTGCCTCGATTCTGTGGCTTCTTTTAGTAACTGGAAAACAGAAACATGCTGGCAAAATCCTAATAGTAAACGACCACACACTCAGGCTACAACCCTCTGCTCACAGTCTGGACAAGAACCGTCTTCAGAGGGGCCGTTTCCCGCCATCTCCCACCAGTTCCACCTGTCAGCACTCAGGGACAGAGGGGCAGTCTTACTGCTTCAGTGGAAAAAGGACGCTGGAGGCCTCAGAAAATTCACAAAGCTCAGGGCTGAATTGTGTTCTAGGTGAAAATACCTACATGTCTAGCATTAGCAGAAAACACAGCTAGGAATCTTGACATTATTTGCATGAGGGACAAAGCCCCTATACTCCCTGAGAGGAAGAAGAAACCAGGTGATGAAAGGGTGTGGAGCACAGTAATGAAATCCGGGACCCATTTTCTGTACACTTTTGTTTTTAAACAGGACAGAAGAATGGGCGCTTTCATTTCTATACTTGAGTTTTTAGGAAATGTATAAAGTTGCCTAAAGTAAAATGTCACTGTCCAAAGAAGCCTTCAAAGTCCTGCTGAACCAACCAGAAAGTACACGCCCATAATTGTGTGTTTGTGTAAAATTTACACTCTAGCTCTGGAAATGCTAATCATCCCACCCCTTCAGTGGCACAATGGCTAGCCTTGCCAGGACTGCAGAAGCACGCAGCAGAAACAATGGTAGGAAAGCGTCTCTGCACCCTCCGCACAGCAGGGCAGCACAGGAGGGCTGGCGAGGGGTCTTTCCAATGCATGTTCTAACCATCTCTCCCTGGACCGCTGTGCTGGACAAGCACAGAGAGCTGGATTTGCAAAGTCCATCCCCAAAGAGATGTCACTGTCTTTGGGTACTGGCGGGCAACAGAATCTGAACATGTACTCTAACAGCAATGCTGAGGGACTGAGCCACAGAGAGTTTTGGGAACATTTCATCAAAAACTTCTACCGAAGCAACCAAAGGTTTCCCTAGCTTGACACTGTCTGTTTGAAAAAATCTGAGATAGTTATAGGAAACGAATGTTTATAAGTTTGATGTTCGCTTGAATTGCCAAATTTGTCTTAAACCTGCTAAGGAGTAAAATAAATAGTCTTTTAAGTAGAGAAAAACCAGACAAGTGCAGGTCTTTAAAATAACATGGTCCAGGGGCCAGCGACTTAGCTCAGTGGCGCCGCCACCTGCCTCGCAAGTGCAAGTTCCCGAGTTCCATCCCCAATACCCAAGAAAAAAATAAATAAAATAATATGGTCCAACCTCTCCAGTATATTTTCTAAACAAAAAGTTAAACAGAAATAGGGCCAGGGATTTAGCTCAGTGGTTCCGCAGCCTGCCTCGCAAGTGCAAAGTCCCGAGTTCAATCCCAGATACCAAAAAAAAAAAAACCACAAAAGTTAAACAGAAATAAACAGGTAAATGCTTTCTGTGACAAAAAACTAGCGTCCCCCAGGTGCAACATTAAATGGAGAGTAACTTTAAATGTTTTAAATGGCTTTAAAATTTGGCAATGATTTCTTGCTTTGTTTTGAAGAAATAGAACTTACAAACTCTCGCTCTCTCTGGTGCTTCTCATCAGCTTCTTTTATCAGCTGCGTCGTCTGCTGAAGTTTGGCATCCACGAGCTGTTGCTGCAGTTCCTTATGCTTGAACACTTTGTCAATGTGCTGAGGGAAAAGCCAAAGTCCTCCATCACTTCTGAAGGCAGGCACACGAAGCGGAGGAGACCCCGGAGTATGGCCCACCAGGGACACCCCCTCTCCCAGCCCTCAAAGGGGGCTCTCTGGCCCCGCCCACAGGACACACATCAGCCAGTCTCAGTCCCCAGACCCCCTTCTGTCCACTGAAATAAGCCTCACACTCCATCAAGACAAGGACGGGAGAGTGGGGCACATACGAAGTCCAGATAGCATGTCCTTAATTCCTTCTGTCTGCCCAGTTTCCTCACAACCTGATCTGATGGCACAAACGGGCAGCATGCAACCCTCGAAGTGGCTGGCTGGCGGTCCGTTCCTTCAAATTCCTGCCCCAGGGACTCTTGAGAGCCCATACCCGGGGGCAGGATGACAAAGCTGGGACAGTACTGCAAAGGCAGAAGCACGCAATGGCTTGGAGCCAGGCACAGACTGGACATGGCATGGCCACGTGGCTAGGGATGGACGCAAAGTCATCAGATGCGGGCAAGGCCTATCGACCAAGGAGAGTGCCAGCGCCCCAAGTGGGGTAGTCACTCCCTTCTGACCAAAGAAAGGCCACTCATCAGGTTCAAATTAGTAAAAGCAGAAATATGATTTAAGCCTGAGTTTCAAATTCACTACATCTATGAGGAGGTAGACTGTCATACTATACAAAACAAAGAATCAGTTTAAAAATTAGGGCTTTATTAATCTAATAAAAGGAAAGTAACTTTCCAGACACCCCCCAAATTCTCCAATAAACACACTTCAAGAATTAAAAAGGAGAAAACATTTTAGAAACATGAGATATATAAATCAGTGAGACAGGTGGACCATTATTTGGATCTTGATCCAAATTTTTTTTTAAAAAGAGACAAGCAAAAACATGAATAGTAACTAGGTAATTTTTAATAATTTGCTGTGAAAATGATATTGGGGTTATGCTAGGCACTCAAATGTCTATGAATGGAATACTATGACACCTGGGTTGCTTCAAAACAATCCAGGTGACCGCCACCTGCCTCCCAAGCACAAGGACCAGAGTTCGATCCCCGGTACCAAAAAACTAAATGAAACAAATAAAACAATCCAGACAAATACAGATGAAACTGATCTCAGTGCTTAAGCCAACAAGCCAGGTGATGTATTCTCTGCTTTCTGAAGCTCCCAATTTTCCATAATGATTAAGTAATTTTTAAAAACAGCAGCTGAGCATGGTGGCGCACTCCTGTAACCCCAGCTCTCGGGAGGCAGAGGCAAGAGAATCACTTTGAGTTCAAGGCCACCCTGGGATACATAGCAAGACCGTCTCAAAAAAATAAAACACAAATCCTGCGCGTGGTGGCACATACCATTAATCCCAAACACTCTGGAAGGCTGAGGAAGGAGGGGTGCAAGCTCAAGCCCAGCCTTGGCAATTTAGCAACTTAGGATCTCAAAGTAATAAAGGAGGGCCAGGGAGGTAGCTCAGTGGTGCCACGCCTGCCTGGCAAGCACAAAGTCCTCAGTTCGATCCCCGGTACCGAAACTATATATATCAAAATTATGAAGGGCTGGGGACGTAGCTCATTGTGAAGGCCCTGGGTTCAATCCTTTGTAGCATTAAAAAAAGAAAAGCAAAGTCTGGTGAGAATGATCAAAAAAATCTTGAAACAGTTTTTGAGGGTCTGTAACACTGTAAATGAAGAGAAAGGTGCAAATTGGATAAAGTAGGAAAGAGATGCCACCATCGTTTTTTCTACCAGAATCAGCTATTTCCATCTATCTGTGTAAGGACACAAGCCACAGGAAAGCTTGTCCTTCTATCCCTTGGAGCCAGAGGGCGCACCTGCCTGTGTTCTTCCCAACAGGAGGCGAGTGCCCTGACTAGGTCCACTAAACTAAGCTGTGCTGCAGTGTGTAGGAGGGGCCAGAGGCAGCTTCTTTTTCCCTTAAATAGTAGAAAATCCTCATTAAAAACAACATCATGTGGCTGGGGTTTAGCATGCACACAGCCCTAGGTCTGATCCCAACATCAAAAATAAAGAAAGCAAGGGCCAGGGATTTAGCTCAGTGGTTCCACTCCCTGCCTCGAAAGCAAAAGGTCCCAAGTTCAATCCCTGGTACCAAAAAAAGTAAGTAAAATAAAAATAGAAATAAAGAAACCGAAATTAAAAAGGGTTAAGGTGCAGCTCCACAGAGCAGGAGCCCAGCACACACGAGGCCCTGGTCCGACCCCCGCACTGCACATACACACATTTTTCTTAAAATCTGGAGCTGGGTGCAGCAGCAGAGCACACCTATGGTCCCTGCTACTCAGAAAGTTGAGGCAGGAGGGTCACTTGAGCCCAGGAATTTGTGACCAACCTGGGCAACAGAGCAAGGCCTTGTCTCAAAAGACAAAACAGAAAACTGAAACGTGGCTGTAATGCAATGAGAGTGGCTACTGTCCGGGCATTTCAGGGCCAAACGCTTACTCTGAGTCTGGGTAAGGAAGGGCTCTGTATGTGAGAGCCGCCACCCTCCAGTACCCCACTGGAGGAGGACCAGGTCGAACTCACCATCCTGGGAACCTTCCCTCCCTGCTGACCACCCTTCCACCAGGCATATCCGGAAGCCCTGAGCACAGTCCTGCTGGGCTCCTTGGGACAGGAGGCCAATCTGGTGGGATGCCCTACCTCTTCCCTCAGCGCATACTGCTCGATGAGTTTCTTCAGCTTCTCCCCCAGCTCCATGTTCTCCTGGCGGAGCTTGGCGTTGTGGATGTCATGCTGCTCCAGCTGGGCCTGGATCTCGTTTAAAGTCATCTGGAAATGTGCCGTTGCCTCTTTACGCCGTTCTTCTTCTTCCCGTGCCTGCTGCATATTTTCCTCCTGGTGTCCAAAATAATGTCTGTTACTAGCATGGCCTACAGATAAGACACTCACAGAAGCATATGTTTCGATGTGGGCTCATTCCTGCTCCCTGAAATGCTGCTTCTGAGCTCCAATTCCTCCCCCCAGGCTCTCATTTAAAAGCAAGCTGCTCTTCCCAAGGAGACACAGTAACGCTCTACTCAGAGTGTGATTCGAGCACCTAAAGCCACTGCACTGAGCTACAAGTCTGGGGCTTCTCCTCACAGCCAGCTCCCACTCACTGTTAGCCAGAAGACAGAGCCCGTCCTGCAGCTTCCGTTCTGAGTCACCCCTTCTACTCCCCAAGTGCCAAGGGACAAGTGGAACCCTTATTGTAAAAACTGCAGGTGTTGGGCCTGGGATTTAGCTCAGTGGTTTTACCACCTGCTGCACAAGTGCAAGGACCCGAGTTCGATCCCTGGTACCAAAAAACAAAAAAAAAAGAAACAAGACTGCAGGTGTCAAAAGACCTTTACATGTCTAAATACATCAATCCACTCAAAATGACTTGTCATGGGACAAATAATACCACCCACTTAAGATCTATGTCCAAGGGTTCCAACGAGGACAAGAGAATGACAGTCCGGCCCAGGTGAAGATCCTCTCAGGAGGGCTCCAACCTCAGGGCCGGGGGTGTGCTGGGGGAAGGAAGGGGCACTGCTCAGAGTCCCGCTGGTGGAAGAGGCAGGTTCTCCCATGGCTCAGCTCCGTGCCCTCCTGCCCTGTGCATGCTGGGTTGTCATTAGGCACCTGCTGGCTCTCCCTTGTTAGAATCTGCCAAGGTGCAAGTGCTACCCTAAGATGCCCAGCATCAGAAGCATGGGCAGGGCAGGCAGGGCCCTCCCTGATCCCCAGGAGCCCTGAAGCTCTCCTTGAGGGAGTCTCTGGCTCAGCCTCTTACTTGCCAGCAGCTTCTCATCCCCGGGATCACCTGCATCAGTGCTTGGCAGAGCAGCTCAACTCTGAGCTCCCAAACCACGGCTTTAAGCGAGAGCTACAGTGTGAACAGCAGTCTCACGTCGACTCCCTGTGAGTGATTAGGAGGGAGTTAATCCTTCACAGGAAACCGAAACGAATGGAGAGATTGTTCATCTTATGTCACAGTGGCCTCACATAGCATCAGGCCAAGCAGAGCAGACAGAAGGCAGTGCCCTGCTTGCCACGCAATGGCCGAATTTCCTTCAAATGGGCACAGGGTGATTATAAAGCAGCAGAGTACCTCCTGAAAAACAGAAACACGAATTGACTAACCTTTAAGGTTTTATTGTGACGCTGAAGCTCCCGGCAAAGAGACTCCAGTTTGCTCCTCGCCAAAATAGCCTTGCTGTGCTCGCTCTGTAGGTGAACTTTCTCTTTCACAATCTGGGCTTGCTTCTTCTGCAGAATCTTCATTTGCTTCTGAACGTTCCTGCTCTCTTCCAGCTGAAATCAATAACACTTGTCATTTAGGAAGGACAGCAGCTCAGAGTCGTGGCTGGGAGGACTACAGTAAAGCTGACCCCTCTTCAGGAAGCCAAACACTGGGGCTGGGGCACAGTTCAGGGGGACAGCACTTCCCAAGCAGCAAATACAAAGCCAGAGGGTGTAGTGTAGTATTTTAGTTAAATTGCTTCCAGGCACACAACACTGCCAACCTCCTCTCTTTCCCAGCTGCATCAAGGAAGTAAGCACATCTAGGGCAGGTGGAAATGATCATGAATTTTTTTTTAGATACATTTAATTTTCACAACCTTTTATTATGCATGTTTAGCTTTCTTCTAAAAGCTTTTTAACAGAGGACATCCACAGCCCAGAGACTTTACTAAGTTGCCCAGATTCCACACTTAGGGCTGAGGGGTTGGGGCCCTCGTGACTTCATCGGGGCCTCTTTGGCGTCCCTGCTGAGTCAGCCACGTCCTCCAGTCTGTCTCCCTGCCCAACTCCAGGTGCTGAGCAGAGCTCTTCCTCACTCCAACTCAGTGACTCCCACATCATGGGGGGCTCCAGCTCCAGCTCGGAGTTCTGAACTCATGCCACCCTCCAACAGGGCACCGCCACCCCAGAAGGTCCCGAGCCACTGGCAAGGCCCCAGCTTTGGGCTGCCCTGGGGAAATGAATGCCCACTCTGGCCGCGACGCCAGTGCTGAAGCCGCTCTGAAGCCAGGACCCACACAGCTCCCAGCCCAGCTGTGTCCCAACTGCTTGCGGTCTGCTGCATATTCGTCTCGCCCCTTCCCACCTGTTCAAAGGCATACTGAAATCCAAATATAAAATAGCTTTTATTGCGCTTTGTGTTATTAACACCGAGTTTTATTTTTCTAAACACCACGAGCTGCGGTACGAAATGGTCGTGAAAATCTAGAACTCAGTAAGCAGCACTCAGAGTTCTTTGTGAGGGAAAGGCTACGATTTGAGGTTTGAAGCGAATGAGTCTCTTCCGCGGCTCAGTGCGCACCAGCAGATAAGATGGCAGCCTCACAGATCTCTCCTACAGCTCTTCACCCAAGCGGCAAACGATGCTCACGACTTCCAAAGCAAGAGCGCCATCGTGTGGCCCATCAAGCACACCAAGCGTCCTCCGGCAAGCCGCCGCAGGTACTCGGGAGATAACCCTGGCTCCCTCCAGAGGTTGCCGATCGCCTGACTGCCGCCTGGGGGCAGCAGTACGGGGTCGCAGGCGGCCCGTCCCTAACCCCGCCCCCAGCCCGGGGACACGACCCCAGAATCCTGTACTCAGCATTCCTTGCTTGCCTTCCCAAGTCATTTCTTTCCCCGCGTAGTGCTAAAAAAAACAAAAGCAAAGAAACCTTTTTTGGCTTTAGTTATTCTGACTTTATTGTGACTAGCGCAACTGAGGAATTTTTCTTTTTTTTTTCCATTAAACTTTAGTGGCTACCTGACCATCTTCACACAACTCTAGGATTCTAGGGCTGTAGCTGCACATCAGAGGTTAGAGGACTGCTTTCTATAAAGGGCCAGCAAGTCATTTTAGGCACTGCAGGGTTACATATAGTCTGTCGTGTATTATTTGTTTTTGAACATTTAAAAATATAAAACCTGGCCAGGGATTTAGCTTAGTGGTTCCGCCGCCTGCCTCGAAAGCACAAGGTCTCGAGTTCGATCCCGGGTACAAAAAAAAAAAAGCTATAAAAATATAAAACCATTCTTAGTTGGCAAATGCAAAACCTGGCTGTCCCAGATGCAGCGCACAGCTGCACAGTGCTGGGCCTGCACACCGCGTAGAGGGCGTGCCCAATCTGTCAGGACGCACAGCACAGCGCACCCGCACGCTCCCGGGTTTCCTGAGACAGTCTGTGCGATAAGCTCCCCGTGTTCCATTTCCCGTGACAGTACCACTTCTCCAGAGCAGCCAGCACATCTGATTCCCCACAGCAGTGTGAGAGATCCAGCAGACTACACCCTCTCACCCTCTCCAAAGTGCAGTCTGTTTCCACTTCTTCATTTCTGACACTAGGATGGCCAAAATCTGGCTACTCTCAAAAAACAAACAATGGGCCTTAAAGTATCACCGTATCCTTTTTCTGCTTCCATGCAACGTCTTCCCAACTTTCTCCTGGGTGTGTGTCCTTCTCCTGCTTAACTGTAGGTGTTAAGTATTCTCGATACAAAATCTTCTGTTGTATTTGTCAGAAGAAAGTATGTTCCCCTCAGTTCATAGTCTCTCTTCACTTTCATGTTTTTATTTGTTTATTGATACAGGGTCTCGCTATGCGATCTAGGCAAGCCTTGAACTTCTCTTACACAGCCCAGGCTGCTCTTGAACTTGTGATCCTGTGGCCTCAGCTTCCTGAGTGTTGAGGTTACAGGTGAGAGCCACTAGGTCTGGCTGCTTTTTTTTTTGCTGATGGTAGTAGTCTCTTTCAAATTTCCTTAAAATTTGACACAGAGTCTCACTAAGTCACCCAGGCTGGGCTGGAACTTGATCCCCCTGCCTCAGCCTCCCAGGGTGCTAGGATTACAGGTATGTGCCACCACACCTGGCTGAAAATTCCATTTTTTCCATAAGAATAACACCTTAAGTTCCACTACTACCATAAGAATGGTAATTCTTCCCTAAATGCATCCAGAGATTCCATGAAAGCCTTCAAAATCCCAAACGGAGGAACACCAAAGCCAACAAATTCAAGACCAGCCTCAGTAAGATGTTTTAAAAAAAAAAACCGTATGTGCTTCCTACCCCTAATCTACTAAATTGAACTTAAAATTTATAGAATAAACAGGCCAATATAGTCAATATATTTCTGACACAAAGAAGAGGATCTAGCTACCAAACCTTATCACACAATAACCTGCACAAGCATGAGAGGAAAGAGGCTGCAAGTGCTTCCAGACCACGGTGCAGAATCATGGCACTGGCACCCACTGTGTGCTGCACGTGGGGGCCACGAGGTCTCCCCTGCCCCACTCTGATCTCCACCCCACACTTCTGCGTGGCAGCACAACAAGCAGTGACGCCAGAGGGCACCACGGCAAAAGCACAGCTGGGGTGGGAAGTGAAGATCTCAGAATGCTCCTTGAGAAAAAAGCTCCTCCTTGGTGGCTTCACCGCAATGCGACCTGGACGCTGTGCCTCTTTGGTGAGATGAGTGTTGTCTCAGAAGTGAAGCTTTAGTGCTTTTTCTGAAAACTTTATGCATTTCATCTTTCCTATGTCCAGCACAAATTCATGGCAGAGCGAGATTCCTCACTGGGCAAGACTGCAGTGCGGAAAGTCCGAAAATGAATAGAAGACCACACCCATGCAACCGAGCAAACCCACAGGGTTGGCAGCATCCTAGCTAATTCCCAGGAGCTCAGAAAGATGCGGATTCGTGGGCCAGGCCCGACTTCACGGGTGCCAAGGCCCTGTGGATATCAGGCATCACCGGCCGGTGACTCACGCACTCTCTTGCCCCACGCCTGCTGTCTGCTGCTTCTCGGGCAGCTCTGCCTGTGCCTTTTCCATGGTTTAGTCTTCTGCGGATGGGATGCGTTGCCCGTTTTTGTCTGTGTCCCTTTCTGCACTTCTTGCACAATTCTCCTCATGTGACAGGTGGCAGCAGAGCCTGGCTTTGGTGGCCAGAGGAAGCATGGCTTCCCCAATCCAGAAGTCCATACAGCGTTTCCACCACGGCTGCATCCGGGACTCTTGAGCTACCTGCTATGAGGCCCCAGACCCCACAGGGCACCCAGCAGACGGCACTGGACTGCTCAACACCTGCTGCCCGAAGCTTAGACCACTTCATGAGCCAAAGGAAAGTAAAACTGTCTCTCTTTGGGTTATAAGCAGAGCTGACTGCCTTGAGGCTGCTTGCTGACCAAAAGGATGGTTTGTGATATGGAATAACCTTTCTAACAATAGCTGAAATTACATAAAATTGTAAATGGTAACTCACCTAAGTCTCGCACAAACAACAATTAATTTTAGCATTTATACCAGAACTACTTATTGTAAAAGTTCCCCCACCAGCCTTTCTTCAAAGGGGTCTAAACCTTCCCATTCTTCAATCTGAACAGGGTGGCAGGGTTTCCATGTTGACGCTCCTGCCACAATCCCAAAAAGATAATCAATACTACTTGAAATAGGGCTGGGGATTTAGCTCAGTGGTTGCGCCACCTGCCTTGCAAGTGCAAGGACCGGAGTTCGATCCCCGGTACCAAAAAAAAAACAAAAAAAATTAAAAATTATTCAAAGAAAAGCAATGCAAGGGAAAAAACTATAATAATATTCAAATATAATAGAACTCAACCAAAGCAAAACTGAAAAGTACTTAAACATTTTTCCATATAATTTAAAAAAACATCTCAAGCATTAACAAGACATCAAAGGATGTGATTTGTTTTAGAAAGATTTTCCAAACTAATATTGAACGAATAGTGGTCTGGAAAAAAAAATTCTAATTACCTAGTAGATGCCACATAGGCCAAATTTTTTTAATTTAAATTTCAATAGTCATGTGACACACGATGGAAATATAATCTGAGAAATATGTTATGAGGCAATTTCATCCATGTGTATCGCAAAGTACCACACAGAGTGCCAACTTCTAAGTGCAAACTGAGAAGGTATATGTCATTCATCTGTGGTGGCCCCTGGATATTATCCAAATACGCAGTTAAACACAAGATACAGGGCGGAGGATTTAGCTCAGTGGTTTCGCTGCCTGCTGCGCAGGCTCAAGGACCTGAGTTCGATCCCTGGTACAAAAAAAAAAAAAACACGCGATACATGTGCCTACCACTGGCATAGCAGCACAGTTTTACAGTAAACTCTTTTATATAAGTAGGATTATGCTCCAAAGGATGAAAAGCACAGCATGTTATGATCAGTACCTAAAACAGTAACAGTCATTTATCACACCATCGAGTACTGTGAACTGTACATAGTTGTATGTGCTTCTTCTGGAAACACACCCTTCTCTCCTTTGATCTCAGTGACTCTTCCTTCCCAACCCACTGATGAGCTCCGGCCTAGTCTCTATCTACATCTCTTCCTCTTCCTATTGTTTTAAACACAATCTATATATGGATTCTTTCCAGATTCCAGCCTGTAACTCTGATCTCTCCCCTTCCCCTCCTGCCACCCATACACCTTTGAAACTTTTCTTTGAATTTCAAATTATCAATTATTTGTTTTAATCCTTAATTACTCTTTCAGTTTCTCACACTAGAGAAACTATTCGGTATTTATACACCTGTGTCCTATTTATTTCACTTACAAGGATGGCCTCAATATGCATCCACTTAGCTATAAATGTCTCTAGTTTGTCATTCTTTATGGCTCAGTAGTACTCCATTTTATTAAAAAACCACATCTTCTTTATCCAGTTTCCAGTTGATGGGCACTTGGGCTGTTTCCAAGCTTTTGCTATTACAAACTGTGCCGTTATAAACATGGGGGCACATATATCACTGTGGTGTGATGCTTTTAATTCTCTTGGGAAGATACCCAGCAGGGGGATAGCTAGATCGAATGGGACCTCTAGCCCTAGTTCTTTGAGGTATCTCCATACTGATTTCCACAGTGGCTGCACCAGTCTGCACTCTCACCAGCAATGGAGAAGGGTTCCTTTCTCCCCACACTCCCACTAGCATTTGTTATTGGTTGATTTATTGATAACAGCCATTCTTTCTGGGGTGAGGTAGAATCTCAGTGTTGTTTTCATCTGCATCTCTCGAATAACCAGTGATGCTGAACATTTTTTCATATATTTATTTGCTGCTTTTACTTCTTTGTCTGAGAAGTGTCTGTTCATTTCAGATGCCCACTTTTGAATTGGGTGTTTATATTTGGAGGGTCTGATTTTGTTCAGTTCTTTATATATTCTAGATAGTAGACCTTTGTCTGAGGAACAGCTGGTAAAAATTTTTTCCCACATTGTAAATTGTCTCTTAGCTCTGTTGGTGGTTTCTCTTGCAGTGCAGAAGCTTTTTAATGAGATGAGATCTCAGTTGTTGATTCTTTGTGCTAGTTCCCCTACTACTGAGGTTTTGTTCATAATGTCTTCACCTATGCCAATGTCTTCAAGAGTTCTACCTAGGGCCGGGGATTTAGCTCAGTGGTTTCGCTGCCTGCTATGCAAGCGCAAGGACCTGAGTTCGATACCCGGTACCAAAAAAAAAAAAAGAAAGCTGAGGCAGGAAGAGGCCTGGGCAACATAGTGAGTTCAAGATCATCCTAGACTACATAGCCAGATCCTGTGTCAAAAAACCAAAATAGAGCTGGGCATACCGATGCACACCTGTACTCTCAACACTTAGGAGGCTAAGGTGGGAAAATGTCCACTTGAGGCCAGCCTGTGCTGCACAGTGTGTTTAAGGCCAGCTGAGCTACACAGTGAGACCCTGTTTCAAAGAACCAAAATAAATAAATAAATAAATAAATGTCTCTTCAATTTTGGAATGAAATATAATTTGACATTTAAAGCTACATCAAAATCATATTTTTAAAAGTTTATCCACAACAGAAAAACAAAACATCAATAAAAAGCCCACCACGTGCAAACATTTTGCCCCTGATTAATACTCACAAGATCAGCATACTTCTTACAGAGAGCTGCCAGCTTCTCCTCCGGAGTGGAGAGGGTGTTCAGGGCTTGCATCAGTAATAAAACTTCTTTTCCTGATGATTAACAAGATGAGAAATATAAGCCTGCCGTGGACATAGCTCAGTGGTGCCACTGCCTGCCGCAAGGACGGAGTTCGATGACCCATACCAAAAACAAATGTAAGCCCTACCTTAGGACAACAGAGAAGGCCCATCTGGCCTGGACTCCTCCTCATACCCCCTTTTCTGCTGAAAGATGATTACATCTGTGACTAGAAATGAGCTATTTACCCTCTCAAGTAACAGCTGTGGGGGGCCTACAGTGCACGGGGCCCTGGGTTCAAACCCCAGCACCTCAAAGGAAAGAGCAAGCTAGTTTCCAATTCTGGGGCAGCAGGCCCCTCTCCCATCCCACCCCAAATTTCATCACTCGCTCATCACTCACAGCGAGAACTATTTCTAAGAACTGTTGAAAGCGTCACATTGCCCTTGCCTAACCACTGATGTCCAAGCTAAGACAAAGGGCAAATTACAAAGGGCAGAGAGTATTTTCAGAGCTTCCTCCTAACTGAGCACAAACACAGAAGGCAAGTTCAAAGGGAGTTGCAGCTGGTACTAGGCTTTGCCTATCTAAAATGCACATTATCACTGCCACACAGATCTGTTCGCAGCAGCACTTTAAATAACTTACTTTCTGGTGATTTACTAATACTAAGCATACTGTGTTAATCAAGGTTACTGTAAATAAAGGATAGCAAGCCAGGCTTCCGCTTCCCTTGAGAACAGGGCTCACCAACAGTATCTGAAGGGATCTGGGAAGGCAAAGCAGGTGGCTGAGATAAGAGGGGGGAAACGCTATTTCAAAATAAGCAATAATGTTGGCTTTCCTTCTTTCTTTCTTTTGGTTTTTTGAGACAGGTCCTCACTATGCAGTTCAGGCTGGCCCCAAACTCGAACTCGTGGTGATCCTCCTGCCTCAGCCTCCTGAGTGCTGGGATTACAGGCGAGCACCACCAGGCCCAGCAATGTTGTATTTCTTTTTTTTTTAAATAGGAAGATATTTATTGATAGGAAAGCTCCTGAGGGGCAGGAGGGGTCCTAAGCGGGTAGCCCTATGTTGTATTTCTTAAACTGGGTGATAGGTAGTATTTTTATTTTTTAAAATGTTCATTCTTGGGCCGGGGATGTAGCTCAGTGGCAGACCTGAGTTCGATTACTGGTACCAGAAAAATACATACATACATACATACATAAAATGTTCATTCTTACATGTAAGATATTTCATTAAGTATCATAAAATTATTTTGGTCTTTGGCATAGAGACTGTCATGGGAGAAAAAAGCAGGCTAACTTCAAAAAAGAATACTTTGCCAGGCGTGGTGGTACAAATCTGCAATCCCAGCACTCAGGAGACTGAGGCAGGAGGATCACAAGTTCAAGGCCAGCCTGCACTACATAGTGAGCCCTTGTCTCAAAATAAGCCAAAAAAAGATCACTTTTTCAGGCAAGTGTGATGGCACACTATGGTCCCAGCCAGCACTTGGTACGCTGAAGCAGAAGGATCTCCTGAGCCTAAGCATTCACGGCCACTCTGGGCAACACAGCAAGACTGTCTCAAAAAAACCTTTTTTAATCCACATGAATTTTAATGAAACCTGTCATTTAGCCCAAGGCTGGTAAGAACATTAAGAGACAATTACACATTACTGTTGAATATAACTTACAACTTTATGGAGATTTTTAAATTCAAGCTCTTATCAGACTGTTTTTTGGGAACAGAATTCATGTACCCTGAAGTTCACTTTATTTCCTTATTTACAGTATTTGCGGTACTGAGGATCAAACCCAGGGATAGTCTACCACCGAATTATACCCTCAGTCCTTTATTTTTTTGAGACAGGCTCTCACTACCACCAATCTACTTTCTGTTTCCATGTACTTCCCAGTTCTGGAAATCTCATATCAAAATGGAATCTCACACTGTGTGGCTTTTTGTGTCTTGCCTCTGTCACTTTGCAAAATGTTTTCTTGACGTTCATTCATGTAGGAACCATCAAAGCTTCGTTCCTTTTGATGGCTGAGTAATATGCCATCATATGGATACATCCCGCCTTATCCATTCATTAGCTAACCGATGTGTCACTTCCACTTTTGGGCTATTACAAATAATGTTCTATGAACATTCGTGTATAAGATTCTGTGTACACATTTTGAATCCTCTTGGGTATATACCTAGAGGCAGAACTGCTTGGTATGTTAACTTTATCTCTAACTTTGTAAGATGGCATCTTTTTTTTGTTTTTTGAGACAAGGTCTTGCTATGTACTTCAGGCTGGCACTGAACTCACTGTGTAGCCCAGGCTGAACTCAAATTCATGGTGATCTGGGCCGGGGATTTAGCTCAGTGGTTTGGCCGCCTGCTGTGCAAGCACAAGGACCCGAGTTCAATCCCCGGTACCAAAAAAAAAAAAAAACAAAAAACCGTCAAATTCATGGCGATCTTCCTGTCTCAGCCTCCAGAGTGCTGGGATTACAGGTGTGTGCCCCACAACCTGCGATATCTCATTTTACACATATAATTGGGACTTGTGATTTTAAAAATTTCTATTGTTTGTAAGAAATTAAAATTACTTCTCATATTCCAGTAATCTCTAACATTTCTTTCCTTCGGTAACAGAAAATTAATAAGAAAGATAATTCCAATTAACAATCATGTGCAAAATTATGCAAATCAAACACTGAAAATCTTAGCTACACTAATTGTAAAAAATGGAGGGCTCCAGGCGTGATGGCGCACACCTGTAATCCCAGCACCAGGGAGGATCACTTCAGAGTTCAAGGCCAGCCTGAACTATAGGGAGACCTTGTCTTGAATGAATGAATGAATGAATGAATACAAAGAGGGCTCCCAGGTAGGTGCCACATGCCTGTAATCCCTTGGGAGGGTGAAGCAGGAAGATAGCAACTTCAAGGCCAGCCTAGCCTGGGCAACTTAGCAAGACCCTGTCTCAAAAGAAAATAAAAACCAAAATAAAAAATAAAAAACAGGGCCAGGGATTTAGCTCAGTGGTTCAGCCGCCTGCCTCGAAAGCACAAGGTCCTGAGTTGGATCCCCAGTACCATAAAAATAAAAAATAAATTAAAAACAGGGCTAGAGTTGTAGCTCAGTGGTAGACTGCTTGCCTAGCATGTACAAAGCTAGGATTTAATCCCCAGTATGGTAAAGGAGAAAAACGGGGAAGGGACAAGCAATAAGACAGAAATAAAATAAATAAAAGGGGGTTTCAAATTCCATTAGATTTAGCCTGCCACATTCTTTTTTCTTTCTTTTTTTTTTTTTTTTTTTTGGTACCAGTACCGGGTATCAAACTTGTGCTTTCGAGGTAGGCGGCCGAACCACTGAGCTAAATCCCAGGCCCTAGCCTGCCACATGCTTGCTCTAAATTCCTAACTACATAGGAGAAAGACCCTTGAAAGCCAAGCACCCTACTTTTCAAACTACCAGGAAGTGGGAGCAGGCGGAGGACCTCAGGCATTCTTACCTAAGGTCTTCTCTTTGTTCCTGCTGCACTCCGAGTCCTGCTGGCCATCAGGGGGATCGGTCCGAGCCTCCCGCCCAGGAATGGCCTCTCTCGACTCCTTGGCAAGGTACGCTGGGCTCACCAGATTCCTGTTCTTGGTGATAAAGTCACTACCTTCATCCTCTTCCAATGGATGCTTGTTACCTGGGCCACAATTGGAGTCTTGATGCTGCAGAATATCGTGTGACTGGGAGTTACACAGCAGATCCGCCTTCACCCCTAGCCCGCAAATTCCGGCTTCTTCCATCGTGCCCATCTCACACTAGGAGGAGGAAACAAGAGAAGAGAAGGAATTCAGTCAGAGTAATCTCGAGTTACAACTACTGCACATCAGACCTTGGCTTGTAAAATCCAGGTGCAAAGAATGGAAGTTTCTAAGTTTCACTGAGACAAGCAAGGGTGTTAACTTCTGTTGCTACTGACCGCTGCGGAGCCCAGTACCTGCCGGTCAGGTCTCTAGCACTGAGCCGGAAGCAAAGTGAAAGGCTGGGGTGCAGCCCAGAGATGGAGGCCCTTGCACAGCGTGAGTTTGAGCCCCAGCAAGGCAAGGAATAAAGTTAAAAAGTCACACAGACAGGTATAACACAAAGGGTGGGAAATGCCATTTAGTTGTAAATCTGAACTTATTTCCCTATAAAAAGCCACCATTTCAGAATAATTAGCACCTTAACAGGAGCTAAAGATCCCAGGTTAATGAATATTATCTGTCCCGAAGGAGAAGGCAAAGGGGATGCTGGGGAGGTGGAACTCAAAGTTCCCACCAGTGGGATATGAGCAGAAGCGTGACTGTCACCTCTGCAACCAGACTTCCCTCAGAAGCACGCATTTCTAGCCGAGCATGGTGGCACACCACTGTAATCTCAGCATCTGGGAGGCTGAGGCAGGAGGATTGCAAGTTTGAGCCCAGTCTGGGCAACTTAGTAACTTAGTGAGACCCTGTCTCAAAATCAAAACTAAGAAAGGTCTGGGGATGTAGCTCGGTACAAAGGCCAGGAAGTTTACCCCCTGGTCCCACAAACAAATAAATAAAATGAATTAACGAACTAATGAAGATTAAAAAGGCTGCAGCACGGCTCTTTCTGCACCATCTGTTCCCCACTGTGACTGGGCAGGTCTCCAAGATGATCCAGGGTGGCAGCAGCAGAGGAGGAAACAGTGCAGCCCTAATTCCCTGGACACCAGGCAAGCCATGGGCCCCTACCAGCGGGAGAACCTGCACCAAGATTTTTTCATGGCAAGCCATAGAAACGTGGCGATAATAAGCAGCTCTCCCTCCCTAAATAAATACAGATAGTATGCATGGAAAAGGTAGCCTCATTTCAGTGTTTTTCCTTGAATCAATGATTTTACTTCACTCCTTCTTCTACCACGGTTAACCCTATTGATTTATGTGGGGTTTCTATGGGATACTTGTTAACACTATTACTAGGTCACCATGTGACACAAATGTAAATTCTATGCATTTCCTCTGTGACTTAAAGAGGGTTTTTCTTCCTTTCTGAACAATACAATTGAGGCAGTAAGTGGAGTGTCTAATATCCTTCTCTCTTTTTTGGGGGGGGTGAGAAATAATCTCGCTCTATAATTCAGGTTGGCCTCGAACTTGCAGAGATCTTCCTGCCTCAGCTTCCTGAGTGCTGGGATTACAGGTGTGTACCACCACGTCCAGCTTCTAATAGCCTTCTCTTAGCATGTGTGGATAAAAACTACTTTCAAAAATTAATGGGGCTGGGCCAGGCTCAGCGGTTCCAGCGCCTGCCTTGAAAACACAAGGTCCCGAGTTGGATCCCAGCTACCACAAAAAAAAAAAAAATTAATGGGGCTAAGGGCCGGGGATTTAGCTCAGTGGCACCATGCCTGCCTCACAAGCGCAAGGTCCTGAGTTCGATCTCTGGTACCACAAAAAATAAAAATAAATAAAAATTTAAATTAAAAAAAATTAATGGGGCTGGGGATTTAGCTCAGTGGCACCATGCCTCCCTTGCAAGGGCAAGGTCCTGAGTTCAATCCCCAGTACCAAAAAAAAAAAAAATTTAATGAGCCAGAGCTGGGCATGATGGCCCATACTTGTAATCCCAGCACTTAGGAGGCTAAGGCAAGAGAATCACTGAGAGTTCAAGGCCAGCCTGGGCTACATAGTGAGTTCAGGGCTAGCCTGAACTACAAAGGGAGACCCTGACTCAAAAAAAAAAAAATTAATGGGCCAGGCATAGTGATACACATCTGTGATCTCAGCACTCTGGGAGGCTGAGGCAAGAGGCTCTCAAATTCAAGCCCAGCCTGGGAAACTTAACAAATTACCAAGACCCTGTCGCAATATAAAAAAGAGAAAGAACTAGAGCTGTAGCTCAGTGCAAAGGTCCTGGGTACAATCCCCAGTACTGTCAATAATAATAATGATAGTAATAATAAGATGGTGGGGTAAGAGCTCGGTGCTAAGAGTGCTTACTTAGTATATATAAGGAAGGCCCTGAGTTTCATCCCCTGCACAGCAAACAAACAAAAATTAATGAGAGATGGGCCAGGGATTTAGCTCAGTGGTTCCGGCGCCTGCCTCGAAAGCCCAAGGTCCTGAGTTCAATCCCCGGTACCAAAAAAAAAAAAAAAAATTAATGAGAGAGCCAGATGTGGTGCCGCACCCCTGTAATCCCCGCACTCGGGAGGCAGGCAGGAGGATCACCAGGAGTTCGAGGCCACCCTGGGCTACACAGTGAGTTCAAAGACACCCTGAACTACAGACCAAGACTGTCTCAAAAACAAACACACAACAACAAAAAACTAATGGGAGAGCAGAGATTTGTTATTTCAAGTTGTAACGTATAATACTGAAGAACTATGAATAATTTAAAATATTAGAGTAGAAAGGGATGGAAGCTAAAACCTTGCTTTTGTATCTAGTGTCAATAAATCAAGTACTGTGCTTTTGGAAGAACAAACTGGCACCACCACTTTGAAAAACTCTTTGGTAGTATGGATGCCTTCTAAGCCAGTTACGGTGACTCCAAGGACTTCACCCAGTGCGCACATGTATACACAGCACTACATGTAGTGGTCCTAAGATGAAATCAACCCCAAGTCCTCAAGAAGAGGGCTGGATAAACTGTAGTCCACTCACACTATCTGGAATGGGAGCGCACCCCTGGCAGAGGAAGTTCACAGAGCTGATGATGCAAGGCAGGTGCCAAAAGGTACCTGCTGGAGGACACCACTTCTCCACAAAGACAGGGCAACCTACTGTATGGCACTAGGAATCAGAAGTGGCAAGCATGGGAGAGGGCTTCTGGAGTGCTTGGTAATATTCCATTCCTTGATCTAGATGTTCACTCTATGAAAATTCATCAGCCTAAATATTTATAATTTGCATACTTTTCTGAATGTATGTTTTACTTCAGTGAAATTTATTTTTAAAGTTGCAATATATTCCATTATTCGAGTGTTAAGAAGAACAAATACAATGGATCTTCAAGTTAGGACCTGCCTGACATAGGAACAACTTGGGTTAATTAGGTTAATGGAAAAAAAAAATTAGGTTAATGGAAGACTCATCTGCCTCTTGTTATCTATAGCATGTACCCAGGTAAACATCCAGATCTCAGCTCTATTGATTTACAACCAACTTGAGATACAACCAGCCCTTGGGAACCAATCGAGTTCATAAGTCAAGGGTCCACTGTACTTCCCTCCAAGCCGGGCCTGGTGGTCTAATGCCTATAGTCGCAGCTACCTGGGAGGCTGAGGCAAGAGGATCACATGAACCTTCAAGTTTGAGGCCAGCCTGGCCACTTAGCAAGATCCTATGTCAAAATGGAAAAAAAGGAATGAAAGAAAGCAAGCTGTTCCTCTAAGGAAAAAATATAAAGATATGTCACCTTTGGGGCTGGGATGTCACTCAGGGGTAGAGCACTGGCCTAGCATGTGTGAAGCCCTAGGTTCTAGCCTGGGCACTGCAAAACAAACAAGGTTGCTTTTCACAATACTAGTTATATGAATATTGTTAACAGAGACCTTTTACACAAAAGCAATAGAGAGGAGAAAAAATGAAAACTAATATATTCCCCAATTTTAAAAAATAATTTGGAAAGCCAGCTGTGGTGGCACATGCCTGTAATCCCAGCAACCTGGAGGGTGAGACAATAAAGATAGCTAAACAATTTTAAAGTTGTAAACTTTCATTCATTCTTCCCAATATTGAGGCTAAAGAACCACATTTCCTTGGCTTATTTTGTAGGGTTCCAATGCTTTAGTAATAGATATTCTTTTATTGACACCAGTAAAAAACACAAAACGGCCAACATGTGCTTCCTAGTCATTTCAACCACCAGCTGCTTTCCTAACCTCAGACATGTGCCCGGCATGCACATGCGCAGAGGAAAAATCCCTGGGCCTGGTTGCCCAGGTGCCAGTGGAAGCCTCAGCGGGAGTAGGTGACAAAGGCTCCGCACAATGCTGCCTTCTCCCAAGTGGAGATCCTTAGCTTGCCTCAGGTCCCCAAAGTCTGGCAAGAAGCCACCCAGTGGGGGGAACCCAACCTTTGGGACCTCCATGCCAGCCACAGTGAGCCGTCAGCCACAGAGCGCCATCAGAATCGTCCAGTGTAACCCTCCCAGCCACATGGAGAGGTGGGCCGTAGGTTCCCAGACCAGGAAAACAGGCTTTGAGTAACTTACCCCAAATCTGACTCAAATCAGGAAAGGAGCCAGTAAAATTCAAAACAGGCCTACCAAAGTCAATGTTCTCTCCATTACACTGCTCACCACTTCTAAATCGGCCTTGGGAAATAAAAGTTGGAAGTCAAACAGATCTCTGATGCAGGCACAAAATAATCCTAAGAAAGGGAATGTCTACGGATACACAGCACACTAGGAATCCCTTGGGAAGAGCCATAGGACCTGAGTGGGAAGTCAGGCAGGTCTCATGGGCGGGGGAGGAATACATTTAATAACAAAGGGTTGAGGTTAGGTTTTTGTTGTCCGTTCTTGACTTTACTGCAGAACTAAATTATCCCTAAACAGTCCCCCAACCTTTCTTCGCTCTTTTTTTTTTTTTTTGGTACCGGGTATCGAACTCGGGTCCTTGTGCTTGCAAGGCAGGCGGCGGAACCACTGAGCTAAATCCCCAGCCCTAAGTCCCCCAACCTTATGTTCTGAGCCATTTGCTAGGTGAGCTGAGTGCTATGAGTGGGAAAGTAAAGACTAAAGTATCAAAATATCTGCACTCTTGGGGTGGGCCAGCAAATACACATATCTCACAGAGAGCATCAGC